GGGATTTAAGTCCGGATGAACTTATAATTCCGAGACATACAAGTTGTAGCAACCAATGGCCTTATTAATGCATATTCTTCTGTGCCTTCTGATGCGATAGTCCGGCACTATAGGTACAGTGTAGCTCATGCTGATAGCTCATGCAATAACCCGAGTTTCGAGCATCTAGGATATACCTAAACTTCTGAGACCGGGGTTCCACAATTTCACACGCGATTAGAAATTGATGTATGATAAGCTATGCCAAGTTTCTACGGGCAAAAATTGCACGTAGCCCAAGCTTTTACGGGCAAAAATTGCAAGTTTGACCAAAAACGTCTCACTTCCCCAAGCGAGGATTAATGAAGCTAACACTATGAATGTGACTGAAGCTGCTTTCCTGTCCGGTCTTTCCCTATCCATGTGTGTCGGCGCGGGTTCGGCCCAATGTGGTTCGACTGAAAACATGACATCTGGTCCTTTCCGCCCGGCCTGACCGGCGCGGCGCGGCGGACCCGTGCCAACTGCCAATCCTCCCCGAACTCGCGGGGCGCGGATGGGGAGGGGCGGCCCGGCAGTCCAACCCCTCTGCGCTAACAGATGGATGGACAGGGGAAATGTGATACTTGTCCTATGACAACAAACCGGCGTTCAGCGCTAGGGCCATCTACTGGTCTAGAAACGTATCTCTATGTCGGCAAGATCCTCGCCAGGTGGTGTAAAGGTCGCGTGAAACGCACCCTTAAGGGGGTAGGGGGTAGAACAAAATCCGGGACCCGTTATATATAACCAGAACCTGAAAATCACACATATCAATATAAATAGCATCACATCTTCGTACAGACTTGACGAGCTATCAGACTTCGCTGAGAGCTCTGACATCGACATTCTCACACTTACTGAAACGAAACTCGACGACACCGTACACCCCAGCCTATATAAATTACACAACTATCACGAACCTTATATTAAAAATCGCTCAAGGCACGGGGGAGGCGTTGCAGTTTATTTCAAATCAACTTTAGCAGCAAAACGGTTACCCGAACTAGAAACTGGTAGCATCGAATGGATCTGGACACTAACAAAAATTAAGAACAAAACTATCATAGTATGTTGCGTATACATTCCACCAAACTCACCTCAAGAGAAAATAATCGAATTTACTGAGTTGCTCGCCGAAAGTGCAATGCTTGCGCGGGTGTTCAATCCTTCACTAATTGTATTACGTAGGGGACTTCAACGCTGGCAATATTTATCTCGACGAAAAATATCAGAATCACAGTGGAATAACACAATTTGACCAACAATTAGACAACACAACATCTACTCTTGGGCTCACTCAACTAATTGACCAACCAACCAGACCAAACGCCAATACTGCCAACCTAAGAGACTTAGTTTACGTATATGACCTTGATCTAGTGACTGACAAAGGCATAGCCTCTCCCTTCTCTCAACTTGACCACTACCCAGTTTATTTAACTATTAACATCGGAAAACCAACAACGAAGACAACTAGTTTTAAGACCGTACGCGATTATCATCTTTTAGACGCAAACCGACTCACCGACCAACTCACACAAACTGACTGGGACTCCATTCTTAATCAAGACATAGATCAAGCCACGATAGATTTTACTGACGCCATTCTTAACGCAGCTGACAAAGCAATACCTACCCGAACGATACGATCCAGGCACAATGACAAGCCATGGTACACGAACGAAATCAAACGGGAGGCACGCAAACGAGACAGGTATTTTAGAATAGCGCTCAGACAACAAACAGAAGTGAGTTGGACACGCTGGAAACACCAAAGAAACAAAACAACCGAGCTCAATAAATATCTCAAAGACAAGTATAGAACAAACGAGGTGCAAAAACTTTTATCTTCTAAAAATGACCCACACAAATACCATCAAATTTTAAGAAGTATGACAGGGAAAACCAAAACTCAAGCATTACCTCCACTCATCAAACCAGACGGTGAAACTGTTACCGACGACCATGCCAAAGCCAACTTACTTAACGACCACTTTGCAAATCAGTCGAGACTGAACACAGGAAACAGAGGGGCGCCCGATATACAGCCACCAAGCAACATTGTACCAAAATTAGACAAAATTGTAATAACGGAGCGAGAAGTTTTAAAACTTCTTAATTCTCTTGACATCCATAAGTCGTGCGGCCCAGACAATCTCCCGCCGAAAATATTACGACTTACGGCAATTTTAATAGTTTCGCCCTTAACAAAATTATTCAATAAATCACTAAGTCTCGGTAAATTCCCCTTAACATGGAAGGAAGCAAAAGTACACGCAATTTTCAAAAGAAAAGGATCTGCCTCTGACCCCTCTAATTATCGGCCTATTAGTCTCCTTCCCTGCATTTCCAAAATATTCGAAAAGATAATATTCAACCACATCTATAGTCACATTACTGAAAACAATCTTTTAACCGACAAACAGAGCGGGTATAGACCGAACCATAGCACTCAACTCCAGCTGTTTTACCTAACTCACAATCTGTACCAATCACTCGACATTGGAAATGACTTCACTGAAATATTTTTAGACATAAGCAAATATTTTGACAAAATCTGGCACGTTGGACTTTTACATAAATGCAAAATTCTTTTCGGGATAACCGGATCACTCCACAGCTGGCTTGAATCTTATTTAACTGATCGAAGTATTAAAGTATGTGTGGAAAACAGTACCTCTAGACCGCTACTCATCAACGCAGGATGCCCGCAGGGTAGTGTTTTAGGCCCATTACTCGCACTAATTTATTTAAATGACCTAGCTGGCAAGACTCATAACGATTCACTCTTTTATGCCGATGACACTTCACTATACACTTCATATTCGAGACAATCCATTACCAAGCCTCCACAGCAAGCTATGCACCAGCAAGATTTTAACACAGCATGCAAATCATTACAAAATGACTTGAACATTATCTCAGATTTTGGAACAAGTTGGCATATTAACTTCAGTGCGGACAAGACCAAGCAAATCACTTTTACCCACGCGACAACATCACAATCACCTATCATGTTCTTCAACAAACGCCCAGTGCCGCCTACTAAAAGTCACACCCATCTAGGTCTTACACTGTCAACCGATCTAAGATTCCATGACCACATAAACAACGTCATCAAGAAAGTCAACATCGCACTCAGTCCCCTATACCCTATTGCTAAGTATTTACCTCGTGACATACTCTTACAATTATACAACACATATATTTTACCAATTTTCGACTATGGAGGTATCGTTTATGACGGATTGATAACAACTAGAGACAAATTGAGACTTGAACAGCTTCAGATGCGAGCAGCAAGGCTAGTGACTGGCACATTATTTCATACGGCACACAAGAAACTCTTAGCAGAATTGGGATGGGAGACTCTAGAGACAAGACGTTTTAAACAGCGACTTATTTTTTATCACAAACTTTTAAACCCATCTGCAGACATTCCTCAATACATAAAAGACATCTTACCTCACACAAGACATGAAAATACAGGACTTGCACTTCGCAATGCTGACACACTTTCCCTCCCTAACAACAGAACAACTCTTTTTCAAAAATCATTTATTCCCCAAACTACAAGGGATTGGAACAACCTCCCAGCAACAATAAGAACCGAACTGTAGTGTCTGGGCCGCCCGCCCGGCGGGGCGCTCGCGGCGGCACAGCATGCCACAGGGGCAGACTGGCCAGCTGGGCGGCTGGGCGGCTGGGCGGCGGCCGGGCGGGAGTCGCCGGCCGGGGGCTGAGAGGCGCGGAGCGCGCTCTTCTGTATCTCTTTTGTTATGTCTCTTTGAGTTAATACCATCGTCTATGTGAAGACTGACTGTGAGTGGCGGACGAGGACGGCAGGACGACACTACACAATTTTGGCGACGAGGATTTGCGACTCTCCCAGCTTTAAGGTACAGTGCATTCGGCTAAGATGGAGGGGATACGTCCGCCAGCTCCCTTGTTAGCCACCCCGGGCAAGCCGCTAACGTCATGGTCTGCTTGGCTATCAGATTTTGAAGTGTATGCCATGGCCATTGGATGGACTGACTGGGGAGAGCAGAGGCGTCAGGCACTGCTTCTCCATTGTGTGGGACAGGAAGCCAGGAGGCTGTTCAGGGCGGAGTGCCCAACAGGGGTCCCAAGTCAGGGCGGTGTTGAGCCAAAGTTTGAGGGGCGTGCGGCTACAATGTCACTGGTCGATGCCACTGTTCACGTATTGAGTCGTTTGTTTGAGAAAAAGTCAGATGTGATCACCGAGAGAGTTTTGTTTCGCAAATGCACCCAGGGCCAAACCACTGTTCGTACCTTTTTGGCGAACTTGAGAGAACGTAGCCAGAGGTGTGCGTTTGGGGCCCTTGAAGACGAAATGATTAGGGACCAGTTCCTAGAGGGGTGCTCGTCTGCTCGTCTGCGTGAACGTCTCTGCAGGGAGGATGATCTGACTCTGCCTCGGTTGGAGGTTGTTGCCCTTGCAGAGGACCAGGCGCTGGAGCGACAGCAGGCGGTGGGACGCTTGCAGACTGGAGCTGCAGAGCGGGAGCATGCACCGGTCAGCGTTGCAGCAACGGCCACCAAGCGGTACGCTCACGGCACGCGCAGTATGACTCCACTTTCAAGACGGAAGGTAAGCCCCTCTGGAGGGCGGGCTGGTACCTGTTTTGCTTGTGGACGTGTGGGTCATTGGAGTACAGATGAGCAGTGTCCTGCACGTGTCGCCGTATGTCACGACTGTCACCAGGTTGGCCACTTCCGGCGGTGCTGCCCGAAGAAGGGGAAGAAGACTTCTGGAGAGAAGCCCGTCGCAAACGTCCAAGTGCTGGCCGTCGGAGCTGAGTCAACTGAAGACCCACACATCCAGCTGAAGGTAGCAGGCAAGTGGCTGCGATTCCTAGTGGACAGTGGGTCAGGTGTCTCTATTTTGCCGTTGGAGCAGTATCAGGCTCAGTTTGGTGACTTACCGCTACAGTCGGCCGCAGTGAAACTTCAGGCCTATGGGGGTGCCGAGTTACCTGTTGCTGGCGTGCTGAAGTGTGATGTTGAGTCACGTGGTCTGTCTGTACCCGCCTCGCCGCCTCGCTGTACGTTGTGGAGGGATCGGTAGCACTGCTGGGTCGTGACTTGCAGAAGCTGCTCCAGGTATCAATAGTACATGGCAGTACGGTTTGTGCTGTAGCTGATCAGTCAGATGAACATGAAGGATGTTCGTTTCCCCGCATCACAGAGGTTCACAGAATTCGGCTGGTGGAGGTAGCAGCACCAGTTCAGCAGAAGCAAGAAGCTGACGTACACCTGAGTGAGCCGGAAGGCCAGGACGCCACGGGCGGCTGCGAGAACACTGCTGACGCACTGTCGCGTCTGCCAGCACCTGTGACGGAGGCAGCTGATGACGAGAGCATCACCGTAGCAGCAGTTGAAGCTCATCTGCAGGCGGTGACGAGGGAGGAGCTGGTGTCGGCATCTCGGTCGGACCCTCAGCTGCAGCAGCTGGCAGAGCAGATCCCACGGCCGTGGCCGACGCGGTACGGAGACTGTCCGGCAGCTCTCAGGCCGTTCTACCGCTTCAGGGGGGAGCTTGGAGCCGTAGACGATGTCCTGGTCAGGGGAGAGCGTCTACTGGTGCCGACCAGCCTCCGACAGCGTCTGTTAGCAGCAGCACACGAGGGACATCAAGGAATAGTCCGGACGAAGCAGCGGATCAGGCAGCACTTCTGGTGGCCTGGACTGGATGCAGCGGTGGAAGAGATGGTCAGAGCGTGCGAGGTTTGTGCATCTTCCGACAAGACGGCTACTCCGAGGAACGCTCCGCTGCACCCTGTACCGCTGCCTGAAGGACCGTGGGAGAAGGTCGGGATCGACTTCATCGGGCCGATGGAGGGCGGAGGACAGCGGCAGCGGTTCACCATCGTTCTGGTCGACTACTTCTCCAAGTGGCCAGAGGTCGGCTTCTGTTCGAGCCCGTCGACGGAGGTGGCGATCGAGTTCCTGGAGGTGGTTGCTTCCAGGGAGGGGTACCCGTTACAGGTGGTCTCTGATAACGGTACGGCTTTTGTGTCCGCAGAGTTCACGGCTTACCTGCGGAGGGTCGGCGTTCAGCATGTACGGGTAACGCCGTACCACCCCAGAGGCGCTGGAGCGGTGGAGCGCATGAACAGAGTGGTGAAGTCCGCGCTGCAGACGGCGTCCAAGGAGAAGCAGGACTGGTCACAGGCGGTGCGCCAGTTCCTGAGGACGTACCGTTCGACGCCTCATGCAACCACCGGCCTGAGTCCGTCGGAGATGCTGCATGGTCGTCAACTCCGGACGATGCTGCATGCACCCACGCACCCTCCGGGTAAGGTAGCGGCCGACAGTGCCCGTACCAGGGACCGTGTCGCTAAACGGCAGAGGCGGCAGAAAGCGTACTGGGACAGGAGGAACCGATCTGTCAAACCGTCATTCAGTGTCGGTGACTGGGTGAGGTACCGTGTCATGCCTGTGCCCAGGAAAGGTAGAGACCGTTTTTCTGCTCCTCACAGGATCGCTGAGCTGGTTGGACCATCGGCGTACCGGCTGGACAGTGGAGCACTGGTCCACGACGAGAGGCTGACTCGCTGGACTGGATCGCCTCCGACCGGGCTGGGAGACGATGAGCAGCCGCAGCTCTCGGATCTTCCCGTCGTCCGCTCCCCGCCGGAGCCGGTCGACGAGCCTCCGGCTGAGGCCACGGCGGCGGCACCGACTCCAGAGCAGCGGCCGGATCGTCAGCCCGACGTGCCTGGGCACCGCACGCGATCTGGGAGACGTGTTCGTGCACCTGTGCGTTGGTGTCCGTAGGTGTGCCTTTGTGTAGGGGGGAAAGATGTAGTGTCTGGGCCGCCCGCCCGGCGGGGCGCTCGCGGCGGCACAGCATGCCACAGGGGCAGACTGGCCAGCTGGGCGGCTGGGCGGCTGGGCGGCGGCCGGGCGGGAGTCGCCGGCCGGGGGCTGAGAGGCGCGGAGCGCGCTCTTCTGTATCTCTTTTGTTATGTCTCTTTGAGTTAATACCATCGTCTATGTGAAGACTGACTGTGAGTGGCGGACGAGGACGGCAGGACGACACTACACGAACCTAACCTGAAATCCTTTAAGAGAGCGATATTTTCCCTTTTCGGCACAGAGCCTGCATCCAAATTTAACAGCGCTGGCTGTAAAGTTGGCAACACTTTGCACACACGCTTACGACTCAATGCATCAACTCTAAACGATAATCTTTTCCAAATTCAAAAAGCCTCTTCTCCTTACTGTGATTGCGGGAGCCCAAAAGAGACCGTAGCACATTTCGTACTAAATTGCCCCCATTTCAACATGCTGCGGTCTGAACTCTTTCGTCAAATCTCTTACATAACCTCAAAGTTCCAGCAAGCAAACAACTCAAAGAAGCTTGACATTCTTCTCAGTGGTACCGATCTAAGTTTGAAAGACGGCATCCAAATAGCTTCTCTTTTTCAAAATTTCCTTATCAATACAAAACGATTCCACCTAACTGCGCCCTGCGGCGGACGACGGACCGGGCGGTGCGTGGCGCCCCCTGGGGGCGGCAGGCTATGAGTGACCCGGTGGGCGGGTGACGGGTGTGGTGCGCCGCGGCGGCGGTTTTGACATTGTAAAGTGTCATTTTATTTCGTTGTTTATGTTGCATTCATGTTAAGTATTGGCTATCGTTTCTGCAGAGAGGTGCTTTAACCCGCGCCGTGCTGGGGGGGGGGGGGCGTTTTCACGCCCCCCCTCAGGTTTTTCGCGAATATCTCAAAAACGGCGGCGCGCAGCGCCGCCGTTTTTGGTACACGTGTTCCTACATCATTTTCGCACATGTTGTGAAAATTTCAGACCTAGGCCGTTCAAGGTCAGGTCACCAGGTCACGTCAAGTGACCTTACCTCAGAAAAAGTTCAAAGGCTCGCTATAGCTACACCGACTGAACGATCACTTTGAAACTTTCAGCGATTGATATGAGTAACAGTATGTATAAAATGTATATCTCGGATTTTTGATATCTGTGACCTAAGGTCAGGTCAATTTTGCGACCTCTCCATTATAAGTCAATGGGAGAAAATTGAAATGCGCCTCTTTTGGACGAATATCGTTCAAAACGCTCTCAAACATCGGTTCATAGGTAAACATGACACACTGAATAGGACAAATGCACCTGTGACCCCTCTGTGTGCCTCTGAGGTCATCTCAGGTCATGAACGGTCGCCAGCAGTTTTTTGGCTATAACTTTTGATAGAGACGTGCTAGAGCGGTGAAAACACGTCAGATGTGTTCAGCTCGACGATACGGATCGACTGATATGCAACATGACCCTTTTCGGTCAGGTCATGACCTTGACCTGAGGTCAAATTTTCAAAATGACCTTTCAAGGTCAACAAATAGTTCATTCGACGCGTCTCGACGAGAGGAACACGATGCTGGCAAAACTAATGTCATGGCGCTTATGAGTCAAAAGTTATTGACGAAAAAACGTTTTTCGTAAAAACGGCTATTTTTGGAGTTTTTGCCCTCTGGAGGCTAAACCGTTGACCTGAGGTCAAATCTGAGAACATTAATCAGAAAGGTCTGTAAAAGGGCTATCGAATGCGCTTTTCCGCGGCGCTGTAGCTCTATCGGTTCCCGAGATAGCCGTTGGCAGTTTCCAAAATGTTGAAATAGTCAACATTTTACCTTTGGTGACCTCTGGTGACCTGACCTTTGACCTGACCCAAAAAATGACCGAAGTGTTTTCGTCCTTATTTTTGACACTCTTTCGATTGCCGCTTACCGCGTGTCGCTACGTGGCCCAGGAGCCGAGTTAGACGGGGGGGGCGTGAAAACGCCCCCCCCAGCACTTGGCGGAAAGTTCAGGCCACCAGCACGGCGCGGGTTAATTTAAGAATTTTATTCTTTTGCACCAATCTGATTATGCGTTTGTATCCTGTGTTCTGCTTCTATTCTTGAAAATAAATGTATTGTATTGTATTGTATTGTATAATGCTCAAACGATTCAATGTAGTCACGCTTACGAGATGAGTAGACAATGCTCCTATCATCAGACGCTACTGCAGTGTCAGTGCGTCTGCTTTTTGAAAGGCCTGCGCTCTCTCCCGTCTTTCTGGGCCATGTGCAACAACATATAGCGCCGGTCATTCAGCGTTGCATCCACTCGTCGACGCACGGGGAAGGGTCTTTCACAAGGAGTTGAAACTCAGAAAGTAGCAACTGGCAATTGGCATGTCTCAGATATTCCATTCCGGTCACCTGAGGTTATGTCGTTCATGTGGTCATGACCTATTGTTTTGGGTCAATGCCATGTGATAAATATGAAAACCGAGTCAGAATGATCATCGTCAGTCACACCCCGGCAAGACCGCGCCCAAACATCGGCAACATTCAATAGCGCAAGGGGCGGCAACAAAACCAAGATATCAAGTTTGATCGTCGCTACTGAAACCGCAAGGTCGTTGACAACGTCGGATACACCTGCCTGCGAAGGAAACCCTGTTTTGTCAGGGCTGCATGCGTGACAAAGTAACTCCATTTGGTTTTGACGCTGTCATGGTCAACTATGTAGGAATTTCGGGCTTCATATCGGCGAGCTCATCATGGTGTGCGTCTTCTGCGAGCCCAGAGTCAAAGTATCGAGGTCATGTCGTTGAATCACAAAACCATAAAATATGCAAGAACCGCTCTAACCCAAGGGATTCAGTTAACCCTCGCATGTGTGCGGCGTTTTCCAGCTTCTAATGTGTAGGGGGGGGGGTCGGTTGGACCCCCCCCCTTGCCGTTTGGCCCCTGATCGAGCTAGAGCTTCGCGGAAAAAACGAGCGTGTTGCCCGTGACGAGAGGAAGCCGATGATACCCAATTTTAAGGTCCTAGGTCATTGGTTGACCTTCCAGGTCAGGTCAATGACCCAAGGTCGGGAAAATCGGGACCTGTTACAAAGTCGTAAAGTGTGGCTGCTAAGGGGTTTTTCGGGGTGCTGATCACGAATATCGTGTTAGTTTTGATCACAGATGATGTCTTTAAGCATTTAGACCAGGTCGGGTCAGGTCAGGTCAGGTCAACCAGTAGGCGTCGTGACGGGTATTAGTATTACGTGTCAACCGCCTCTGACAGCTTCGTAACATGTTACGAAGTCCCCAAAACTACTTCGTAAATGTTCAAATGGTTGCTAAATTCGAATTCAGCTCCAAAAACTAGCCTAGAAACATGTAAAACTCGAAAAAGTGAACCGAGGTCACCAAAGGTCAATGACCTGACCTGACCTTCAGGTGACCTTGACACCCACCCTAATGCATGGGAGCAACATCAAATCACATGTTTGAATGTTTGAAACCACGAAAAGCTTGCAAATGCGCGGCTAATGCGAGCCGACATACGCGGAATCGCGATTCCGGCCAAACATGGTCTCGGAAAAGAGGTCACAGGTCAAAGGTCATTTGGGTCAGGGTCATGAAATTTTCAGGGTAGGTGTAAAATTGATCAATGCGAGGGTACTGAAAGTTTCGTCGCGATCGGCCGCTTTTTACGCGAGTTATTCGCGAAAAACCATGGGGGGGGGGGTCCATCCGACCCCCCCCCCCTACACATGCGAGGGTTAATCATTGGAACTTAACGAAGCGATTTGTCCCAGTCTTCCCTCCCAGCAAAAGTCCTACTTCCTAAATATGGTAATGTGTATCATTTGGCTAAGCTGAAACTATCTATAGTTATTATTTTCGTGCTTAATTTGGGCTTATTGAGGAAAACTCGCGATGATGTCAAATACTCTTAGTGATGTCAAAGGACGTCATATATGTAAGGCCCAAGTTGAATACAGACCAGGCATCAGTCCACGAAAACGGGACACAAACATAAATTTCAATTCCTGAAACAAATTTGGATAATATTTGGCGCTAACTGAGCAGTTTCTGTATCACTACCTATGGGGCATAACGGAGGGGTCACGTGACTGACCTGACCTCAGGCGACCCTTACGAAAAAGAAAATCAGAGGAAAAAGCTGCAAAAATTGAAAGCTTGTGTTTTCCTAAGTTTCGTCTCCCTGCGAAAGATTCCCCGACTCTGAGAGCGCTGCGAATCTGTGCAGCATTTTTAGACCATCGAGAGGTTCGCGTATGACGTCATAGGTCACTGACCTGACCTGACATCAAAATACAGCAAATGCCAAATGTGCAGGCTTAACCCTATTAGTGGCAGGGGGGGGGGGTTGTTTTTATCCACCCCTGAGGTTTTTCGGGAATATCTCCGAAACCGCTGAAGCTACGATGCTGAATTTTTCTGACTTTTCCTAAAACTAAATTGGGCACATTCCCTGAAAATTGCAAGTTCATAACTTTACCAGGGGCGGCTCCAGAGCACTGGGATTGGGGGGTCCTATTCGTGAAGCGAGTCATTTGGGCGAAGATCACGATGCTGCACCAGTTTTACGAACAGTGAATGAAAGGTATCATGTGATAACATATACAAAGTTATTGTGCATCCTCTTTTGACACGTTTTTGCTATAATAGGCGGATCCAGGCGTCCAAAAAGGGGGGTTATTTTTTACCTCCCAACATAGGTGCCCTGACACCGCCTATGCATGACCAATAAATTTTAGTCGTTCTCTCATAAGAAAATTGTAACATAACAAGACCATTGCCACCCTTTTTAGAAACAGTACCGACACAAACCTTATTTACTATACTTTTTGTGTACCCCCAATCTCAATGATCTGTATCCGCCTATGATTTTTGAAAATGCATATTTTTAGGATTCATGTGAATTCTTGGTTCATTCTCTATCGATCGGCAAAAGTTGCGTTAAGATTGGTTCAGAAACCTGGCCGTGATAAACAGTCTAAAATGTATCTGCAATTTGCCCGTTTTTACCCCCTCTACCCCCCTATTGACATCTTTTAATTTTTTTTTAGAAATGTAGATCTCGTTGAGCCAAATCGAATGCCGTTTGAATTTTGAAAATCGGCCGGTTAGATCTCGAGATATCAAGGGGGGTCGTAAACAGCCCCCCCCCCCCTGCCACTAATATGGGGTAGCCACTAGCCAGG